GCCATCTGCCAACCTCAACTGCAGACAATTTGTAGCTGTGACTAAACTCGATTTTTGTGTCTTCTTCGTGGGCTTCCGGAAAGGCCCCTCAGGCACCAGCAAGTACTTGCACCTGTGGTGTAAGCCACAGTCACCTCCACCCCAGGGGGACTCCCCTACCCCTCCTGCCCCTCCATCTCTCCCCATCCCCCTTTTTTCCTCTCCTCCTCCCTCTCCTTTCTTTGAGACCTCTTCCACGAAAATCTGAAGTCTATCTCTATTTGGGCTTTTTTTTTTTTTTTTTATCTTTTTCTGAGAAGAAAGATACAGAATCTTCCTGGCCCACTTTCTGTGGGGTTGTAAGGAAGCTGCCTTCTGGTTTGATGAAAGGCTGTCCTTCCTTTACTAAAGAAGTTGCACATTCGAAAAGTCAGTGCTCCAGGGTGCAAAAAAGAGCCAGCCATGAGGTGGGCTTTGGTCAGGTCGAAGGTGAGGATAGAAGGTGAGCACCGCATGGTAATAATACTGGCACCAGCTTTCTCAGGCAGCCCAGCAGCTGAGCTCCGGGTCGCATGGCAATCTGGGGACTGGGACCAGTCAGCAGGACCCCGTGTCCAGACATCTGGCTGCTTTTTTATCTCATTCTACACTGAAATCCATGGATGGAATTATTGATTGCTTGACCACTGAATTAAGAAGGGGAAGAATTAAGTAGGTTGTCAGACTCCGCCCCTGGCCTGGAGACATCCAGCATCGACCTCACAAGAGCAGGACCCTCTTCCCCCATCCTCTGACCCCACAGCGAGCAGCTCCTCCACCCGCAGGGGCAGGCGAGTGGACAAAAGGAGGTTTGTGGGGACACAGGCACAGGATGGAGGAGAGGCAGTGCCTGCCCACCAGCCACAACCACCTTCCTCCAGGCTCCGGGCTGTGAGCAGAGCACAGCGTGGCTCAGGGAGGTGGCTGGGCCCAAGAGCCAAGGCTGGTGAGAAAGGGAAGGAGAAATCTCAGTTACTCCCAGTTTCTTAGGATCCAGGAACTTGCCCCTTGCAGGAAACCCTCATGCATCTCCAAGGCATCAGTGGGTTGAACTCTAGGGGGGAACGCCTGGCTCATGGGCTTGGAGAGGAAGGGGCCAAGAAGTGGCCCAAGGGCTCTTAGCTGCAGAAGGCCTCAAGGCAGTGCCCACCCCACCCCCATGTGGTTTCACAAACAGGAAGTGGCTGAGCTGTGTTCGAGGTAGGCTTGGCCAGGAGCTTCTTGTCCTTGCCAGGACTTCCGGTGGTGGGACAGAAAGCCACAGGAGAGGGCCAAAGCCCCACCATGGACATCCTGCAGCACATCAGAAAATACAGCCTGACTTGGGTGTGGACCTTCTGGAAGCTGGGCTGCTACCAGCAGGAACATTTTATGCTCTGCTTCTCTGACCCCGTAAAGCCACCCTTTGACAAGTAGGCTGATCTTGAATGACACCAAGAAGGCTGGACTGGGTATGAAGTCCTGAAGCTGAATTGGCATCAGGCCTAGAGGAGGAGGTGGGAGGGGTATCAACCCAACTGGTACCTGCCTGGAGCCCAATTCTTGTGGAAGGTGGGATTCAGGGGATGGAAGGAAGCCCTGCGTAGTGGGGAGGAGGGCTGCTGGGCCTGGCTTGAATACCACTCACATCGATTTATTTGCTTTTCCACGTCTCAGAGCCTCAAGTACATGTCACACAACTGAAAACTGTGTCTCCAAGCCAGATGGGAGGGGTCCCCATGGAGCCATCAGTCCGCCGTGGAGCCTGTCAGTTCACAGGATGCATGACAACCAGACCCGCCCACAGTGACTGACCAGGAGGGGACAGCTGAGCAGTTAGGGGCCACCATCCCACAGGTGGTGTTTCATTGCAGGGACACAGGAGGTCAGGGCATTATTGCCTTCCACTTCCAGAGAAAAGTTCAAGGTCCTGTAAACCTGTCCATTCTGATATGACCCATATAAAAAGAGCAAAATCCAGGAAAAAATAATGTGTAAGCAGCCAGCTGCATTACAGCTTTCACAGAGAACTTCTAAAGACACCGATTTCTATTTGACCCTGGGATAGTGTTCCCATACTCCAGAGAACAGCAAGACCCAGAGAGATTAAATGATTATTCAGATGTGTCAGAGGCAGATATAGAACCCAGTATCTTGCTGTTATATGATTTTGGGTTTGTTTTTTTTTTTTTTTAAACAACACACTGCTTCGAAGGTCCTCAGAGGGGAGAAGCTAGTTACAGGTTTAACTTGTTGGCACTTAATGCCAGATAAGGGAAAATAGCAAGCAAACAAACAAAAACCTTGATGTTATTTGAACACCCTTTTACAAAACCAAGGAATGTTCTGAGCAATGGCCATACCCTCTTCCTGGTATGATTATCTTGGACCCTAAGGGGATCTGCAAGATGTAACGGCTTCCCAAGACTCTATGAGGTACAGGTGACGTATGTAGGAGAAGGTTGGAGCTTTAGAGAGGGGCCTGACAGGTTCACAAGCACTAGCCACCTGGAAAGGCAGCTTTGCAGGGGACAGAGCCCAGCAGGTCAGCTGACTCGTGGGTCGCCCCTGGCTAGTCACTGATGGGCCACTGTCCTTGCCCATTCACCCAGGAGTACAGCAGAGAATCCATTACAGAAGTGGGGGAGCTGAAAGAAATGGGGATGGAGTGTCATCAAGAAACTGGCCTCTCTGGACACGTGGGTGGCTCAGCGGTTGAGCACCTGCCTTTGGCTCAGGGCATGATCCTGGAGACCCAGGATCGAGTCCCGCATTGGGCTTCCCGCAGGGAGCCTGCCTCTCCCTCTGCCTATGTCTCTGCTTCTCTCTCTGTGTGTCCCTCATGAATAAATAAATAAAATCTTTATAAAAAAAAAACAACAACTGGCCTTTTTTCCAGAGGGTTGTTAAGACCACTGAAATGCTTAGGAGCTGCAGGAGAGGCATGGGGTAGGACACTATTAACAGTAGTCCCTGAAAGGGAAAGAATGAACAGGAGGTTCGGGGGGGGGTGCCCAATCCCAGGCCTTACTTCCTTACTTCCTAAACAGATTCCTTTTGCCCCTAAATCTGCACCTCCCTGCTTTTCAACACAATTTCCCCTGGATTGTGACCTGACCCAAAAACAGCAGGTCTGGGCTTGCCCCTTGACTCATTGGCCTTCTTTAGGGCAAGGGGCATCAGAGACTTCGGGCAAAACCTTCCGTAATGGGGACAGAGACATTGTCAGAGCACAGGCTGCAATGGCAAGCAGGTACTGCATTGGGTCCCTGAGGACACTAGGCAGGTGACAGCAGGGTCTCCCTGAGTAGGTCAGGTCCCTCTGTGAGCAGGGGCCACACACATGCCCCTTGTCTTATGAAGTGGTCATGCCCTGAAATGTGGTAACACATGAAACCAAAATGTTTGTTTGTTTGTTTGTTTTAAGATTTTATTTATTTATTCATGAGAGACACAGAGAAAGAAAGAGGCAGAGACACAGGCAGAGGGAGAAGCAGGCTCCATGCAGGGAGCCCTATGCAGGACTCGATCCCGGAACTCTAGGATCGCGCCCTGGGCCAAAGGCAGGTGCTCAACCGCTGAGCCGCCCAGGTGTCCCTGAACCCTAGATGTTAATGTCTGAAAGGAAACTGGCCATACAGAAAAACTCAGAATTAGAGCAATGTATGGAAAGAAATTATTTTGTAATGCAAACAAAGGTATCCCAATTTCTGCATCTTAGGTATCCAGGGTCCTGTGAATTACATATTCTTAGGATGATACACCTCTTGGCTCTCTTAACTATAAAATAATGTTAGATTTTTCTTATTTAAAAAAAAAGACATTCTTTTAAACATTATTCCAAAGCCTCATCATGAACCACTGGAGGCGGGGATGAGGCATACGTGGGACATTGCTAAGAGATGTTATGGTCACTGCCTGGAGGACACATGAAAAGGAACACTGACCTCACTCACTGTGTGTGTTGGGGGGGGTACACACGTGTATGTATGTGTGTGCTTATGTGTGAGTATATTGTGTTATGTGTGTGTGAGAGCACACTTTGTGACGGTGTTGTATGTGAACACGGTTGTGTGTGACTGTGTGTCTGTGTGTACAGCCATGAGCATGCATGTCTATCTGATGGTCTGTCCGGGTGGCTTGGGTATACATTCAGATGGGGATGGACCTGTAGATCAGAAATTATCTGTTGACACGTCCGGTCTCCAGAATTCCTTTCCTGGACTGAATTCCCTCCTTCCATCCCCAATCACGGGGCAGTAACCAGAAAGTATAATTTTGTGACACTCCCATATCCTTTCTAGCTTATACATGGAAACTCTGTGTCCAGAAGAAAAGCTGATTTTTTTTTCTAATTATAGGGCCTCTTGGGCAAGCAGAAGTGAGACTGGATCCTCTCCACCTGGAGAAAGCTTCTCTTTCAAAGCCTCGAAGCGAAGATTCATTCACTGAGTGTCCGTATTTGCATTCTATACATATGTTTTGAAGAACAAACACATTTTGTTTCAAATCCACACAGAAATAAAGACTTTAAGCCAGCGAACAGCTCTGGAATATTTCTCCCCTTCCCCAAAGGAATAGCCTTTTAGGGACCCATGAATAGGATGTAGGGGTGGGATGCCAAGGTGGGGCTGGCCAGGGACTACCCATGTTCCTACAACCACACTGAAAACTGGGACAGTCTGAGGACCTCTACTGTAGCCACCTGGACAAGGACAGGTCACAAGAACAGGTCTTTTCAGACCTCTTTAAGTCTCTGTTAAAATGTCTTTGTGGCTCACAATTCAAATACAGATTATTTCCAATTCAATTACCAATAATCTCTGGTCGGACATTGCTCTCATTGTTTTAAAGAAAGCCATTTCTGTTCTTTTTCTTTCTTTAAATCTAAGTAGAGAATGCAAAGTGGGAAAAAAATGAAAGACCTGGGTTTCATGTAAACATTTTTATGTGTTTAATTTTTAAGGCACACAGACTTTATTTTTTTTTCTTTTTTTTTTTATGATAGTCACACAGAGAGAGAGAGAGGCAGAGACATCGGCAGAGGGAGAAGCAGGCTCCATGCACCGGGAGCCCGACGTGGGATTCGATCCCAGGTCTCCAAGATCGCGCCCTGGGCCAAAGGCAGGCGCCAAACCGCTGCGCCACACAGGGATCCCCACACAGACTTTATATACATCATCTTAATATCTAAAAACACAGAGTTTGCATTAGTAACAAGTGGTAGCCTATTCATTTGCCACATTTAGACGTACCATTATAAAGCTAGACTTGAAAATCTGACTTCAAAACAGAAGTGAAACATGCATGATGGTGAATGCTAGATACAACCTCCAAAAATGTAGGGTTAACAAAGAAAGCCCACTGCCCAGTGGCAGCCCCTGCATGACACTGTAGCATCCAGTAAGAGGGAATACAAAGTAGCCACCAGATTATGGATTTTGTTAATCTCACTGGACATTTCTCACTAAATCCCACAAGAGTTGCTGTTAACGCATTTTATTCCTTTAAAAAAAAAAGTACTTATTTTAAAGAGAGAGAGCACAAGCATGAGGGGGAGAGGGAGAAGGAGAGAGAATCTCAAGCAGACTCCATGCTGGGTGCAGAGCCCAATGTGGGGCTCCATCTCAAGACACTGAAATCATGTGACCTGAACCAAAAACAAGAGTCAGACACTCAACTGATTGAGCCACCCAGGTGCCCCACATCTTACTCTTTTCCAATAAATCACCCATACAGGAAATGCATATCTTTTTAAAAATGAGCTTTTAGCATCAACCGCATGCTACAACCAACTGGACAAGAGGGTTTCTATAAGATGTACGTAAATGTCAAAGGAACGCAGCCTGCTCAAGAATGCTCAGACCCAGAGAGGTCTTGATGAGTATCTACACAGCCTTCCGCACTGTCTCCCATGCCTTCGGTTGGAGCCCAGCAATCCAGCCCACACACCCTACAGATGAGAGGTTGGCTGTAGGGCAAGGTGGTGGGGAAGCCACAGATAAACCAGAAAACTCTTTGAGCCAATGGTTTTCTACTTCCTCCCCAACTTGACTGGTTACCAGAACTACCCAAGAGTAGTCATCACGAATTCAGTCTCCCTGGACTTTCCCTGCCTGATCTCAGGGTGACAGGGTAAAAGGCAAAGAAGCAGCAAGAACCAGGCCAGCCCCACACCACATCACCGCTGTAGAAGTGCAGTGCTGGGTCTGAGCACTTGGCTCACATTTCACCACAGGGCAGGATTCTCCAATTTGCAGCTCATGTTGAGCATCTTCAGGTCTCAAGAGAGGGGAAGGAGTGAGAGAAGGCTTCCAAAAGGAAGCTGCAACAAAATACCAGGCGCACTTTCCTCTGCTGCCTGCCCTTGAGCCAGAGGCAGCTGGCATCACCAATGTGGTAAAGGCAGAGCGGGGACCTCCCATAGCTCCTGGTCTCTATGGGCCCTGTGCGTCCTTACAGGTGTGTGGACTCCAGTTCTTCACCTGTGAAACCTGATGGCAAGCATTCTCTAACTCAGCAGTGCTGAATCTTTTCTTTTTTTTTTTTCTGTTTTAGGTCCTCTACAGATGATCATCAAGGCATCACCAACAGGTCCCCTGACCTATTTCATAGGAATGGAGGAGTTGTGCGCAGTGTGAACGTCTGTCGAGAGACTCAGGAAGATGTCCACCAATAAGTTATCAGCAATTATCTAGGTGAAGTGAAATTTTAGGTGGTTTCCTTAAACTCTGACATCATTGTAAAATATTGAAATACGCATGTATCATCTTGTGACTACAGAAACAGTATTTTCATTCCGAAAAAAACTTAAGCTACTCTTTTAGAGGAGAAAAATAAGCTGTATATGATGATTACGAAAACTCCCAGAGACAGACGAATTTTTTAAAAATTGAAGGAGGACGTGAACCCAAGTCTAATTCGCTTTGGAACTTAAAACTGCAAAACACATGCCCTAATATCACAGATTATAGGGTCTGTGAATGCCAAAGAAGTAAATTAAGAAGTCAACTGGACCACTGGCGTGTGTCACAATAGATACTGGTGTTATTCAGATACACAAGTGAGTTGACAAATCACAAGGCCAGGTACCATTTGGTGTTGAGTGGATCTATGATACGGTATTTTTAAAATATGGGCATTATGGTTCTTGGGCGGAATATAAAGGACACACTCACAAAGGACACACCTTTGTCATAGCCTAGCTCATACAGCCGAGACATAAGACAGAAACCACTCTGGCTTCACATCATTCTTTTTGCAACATCTGAATATGCATGTTCAATCTCCTGGTCAGCTGGACATGTATTCGTGAATTCATCCCTAGCATAAGCATTGTTCAAGTATCTCCAGATGCCAGTCATTTCAGAAGGAAATTCAAAATCTCTGTATCTCTTGGCCACGATCTGAAAATCAAGAGGAAATAATCAGCAAAGGAAAAACCTACTAATGTAGACTATTAGGTCAGACAATCCACTCTTTTGAGGCGTGTGATATATTCTCTTTCTCAAGTTCTGATGTATTCTTCCTACAGTCAGTCAGGCTACCCCAAACTGCACTTCAACTTCACAACAGGAAAGTTCATGAAAATATTGGGCTCAAAACAGTGGTTCCACACAGTCCTGCCCGCCAATGTATCCCAGATAGTCCTTGGGATCCACTGTTATGAATTTGGTCTCTACTTCGATGGACTTTTCCTTGTATTGCTCACAGTTTGGGCTTTGTGTGTTCTGCTGCTGTGTTGTTTGGTGCCTAAAGATTCATGAAGATATTCAGTTCTGGGATCCCTGGGTGGCGCAGTGGTTTAGCGCCTGCCTTTGGCCCAGGGCACGATCCTGGAGACCAGGGATCGAATCCCACGTTGGGCTCCTGATGCATGGAGCCTGCTTCTCCCTCTGCCTATGTCTCTGCCTCTCTCTCTCTGTGTCTATCATAAATAAATAAAAATTTAAAAAAAAGATATTCAGTTCTGATGGTGTCAGATTAACCGTGAAGTGTTCTCTTTTTCCTACTTGCTGAGCCTCACCTCCTGAAATCCCAGATATCTATCTGTGTCTATTATTCCTACAGATTTCCATCATTCTGTCACTGAAGAGATCATCTCATTGTCAACAAATGGACACAAATCCCTATCCTTGTGGATGTGGTGGATGTGAGGACAGGGCACCTGAGGGTGAACATCATGGGAAACACATCAGTGTTTTCCAGAAAACAGTGTTTTCATTGGCTAGAGGGGAATCATTGGGGAATTCATCAGAAAGGAGGGTATATTCTGTTGGGGATTCTATCAGATTCCTGGGACTGCTGTCACAAAATACTATAACCCAAGTGACTTAGGACAACAGAAATTTATTCTCTCACTGTCCAGGAGGCCAGAATTCCAAGATCAAGGTGTCAGCAGGGCACATTCCCTCTGGGAACTCTAGGGAAAGATCTGTTCTCTCCCCAGCTTCTGGTAGTTCCTTGGTTTGCAGCAGCATAACTGCAGTCCTCACATGACATTCTCCCTTTGTGGGTCTCTGTGCCCAAATTTCCTTTTTTTATAAGGACACCAGTCCCATTGGATTGGGGGCCTACCCTATTCCAATACAACTTCATCTTAAATAATTACATCTACAAAGATCCTATTTCCAAATAAGATCATATTTGGAGGTGTTGGGGATTTGGACTTCAACACATGAATTTGGGGGGATACAATTCATCCCCTAACAGTGACCCAGGGCTAAAAAAGTCTGTTCTGGGGCAGCCCTGATGGCCCAGCAGTTTCGCACCGCCTTCAGCCCGGGGTGTGATCCTGGAGACACAGGATCGAGTCCCACATCGGGCTCCCTGCATGGAGCCTGCTTCTCCCTCTGCCTGTGTCTCTGCCCCCCCCCTCTTGAATAAATAAATAAATAAAATCTTTAAAAATAAAAAAAAAGGTCTGTTCTGCTTTGTTGACTCCTGTTGCACTGGTTTCTGGGATGTATGGATGAAGTGAACATGGGACTTAACACAAATTAGAAGATCTTTGGGACCTATTACTTAGATTTTGCAGGCCAGAAGCCATTGATGCAGCAAAAAAAAAAAAAAAATGATGACCATCAGAAACAACCATCAGAAACCCTCCTAAACTGTTTAACATGTCTTACCTGAATTCAACCGTACTGCTATTAGTGTTAAGAATTCTTTCCTTTCATTTGCAAAATAAATTTTAAATTTTAACATTTTTTAAACTTTAAATATGCTTTCATTTAACATTTCTGAGCACATTTATTAGGTGTATGCCTCCTACAGATATAATCTTGTTATTATGGTACATATTCTGAATTTAATACTTTGTTTTCTATCTTTCTCTGCATATTAATGTGTTTGTGTGTGTGTGTGTGTGTGTGTGTATGTGTGTGTGTGTGTTTCTGGTAATACAGAAGCTATGGTCTATTTTAATTTTTTCCCATGGTTTCCAATATCACCTTAAATAATAGAGATTCTCTATTAATTTGTGAAGTTTAGATAATACCTATTTACTCCCGATTATGGCAAATGAGGAAATTAGTACAACTACACTTTTTTTCCATTTCTTCTCCTTTATCCTCCTTCCATTAATTGTAAAAACATCCAAGGTTACCATGTTCCGATTCTGTTCTGCAACTATAATTCCCAACATTGTTTAGTCTTTAGTTCTGTCTTTGGATTTAAATAGGTTCTATTTTTATCATCAGCCTTTTATACTATATGCCTTCTCTGTTCCTGGATTCTTATTTTGATGATCATTTTATTACTTCATCACAGAAAAGTCTTATTTTAAAAAATTACTCAGGAATACTTATTTTCTTAAGACCAGAAGTCCAGGTAAAAACAACAATTTACCTAGATATGAAATTCTTACATCACACATTGTTTCATTCGATGCTCTGTAACTATTAAACCACTGTTTCCTATTTTGTTTTTTTTTAAGATTTATTTATTTATTTTAGAGAGAAAGCATATGATGGGGGAAGAGGAACAGGGAGAGAGATTTAGAGAGAAAGCATGTTGTGGAGGAAGAGAGACAAGGAAAGAGAGAATCTTCAGCATACTCCCTACCGAGCGTGGAGCCTGATGACGGGCTCAATCCCTTGACCCATGAGATCATGCCTTGAGCCCAAATCAAGAGTTGGACACTTAACTGACTGAGCCACCCAGGCGTCCTGTTTTCTGGGTTTTAATGTGATGTGGAAACATATGAGGCCAGTCTGAATTTCTTGCCTCCACAGGTGGCTTTATTATTTATTATTATTATTCTATTATTATTATTATTGCTATTATTATTCATATTGTCTGGATGCCCAAAGTGTTCTGTTGATCCTCAAAGTTCAGTAATTTATCAGGTATGTCATAGTGTGTTAATTATTCTGGACTATATTTTTCCAATCATGGCATGTTGTTCAAATTGAAGATTCAGATCTGCCTTTAGTACAAAATAATTTTCCCTCCTTCCTCTCTTTTCTTTTTCCTCTCCTGTTCCCTGGTTCCTGATTATGCACATCTAGGAAATCTCTAATCCCTTTTTATCCCTTGGTTCTTCTCCATTCGATTTTGGATGGTGTCCTCAGGCTTGTCCCTCCAGGTCCCTGATGGGACCTGTCTCTGAGCTTTTTCTCAAAAGATCCATGTTATCTTTCATGTCTTAGAGGCCATAGAGAAGAATCGGACTAGAATGTATTTTCATTTACTGGAGCAATTCATCAGATATGTGCTTCTCATCTGCCTTTTCCTTTTCTGTTCCTTCTTTTTCTCCTTTTCCCTCCTCTTCTTCTTGATCATCTCTATCCACATACAGGTCCCACTTAGATTCTTTCTGGTTATTAATCTTGTAATGAGGCAGATCTATTGGACTTAACACTTCTTAACAATAGTATGGAGGGCAAAGGGAATGAGACATGGCAGCTGGTAGACCAATTTGGATGTGTTTTGTTTTTAAGATTTTATTTATTTATGAGAGACACAGAGAGAGAGAGGCAGAGACACGGGCAGAGGGAGAAGCAGGTTCCCTACAGGGAGCCCAATGTGGGACTTGATCCCTGGACTGGGATCACGCCCTGAGCCAAAGGCAGATGCTCAACTGCTGAGCCACCCAGGCATCCTGACCAATGTGGAAGTTTACCCTCTAACATTCTCTTGCCAAACACTGCTCTATATTCTGTCTCACAGACATATTAGGGTTTAGGTCAGGATCAGAGTCAAGGTTAGGGGTAGGGCATCCTCCATTCTGAGACTCACAGATTAGGCAGGAGGTCACCATGGCTAAAAATGAAGCTCAGGGAATTCACGGTCTTCCTTTTGCCTGCTTCAGGGACTGTTTCTTTTCTCCACTCAGCAGCCACAAAGCAGAATGCCACATCCCTTCTCTCCACCTCCCCTCCCTCCCTGTTCCTACAGATTAGGGGATGGGTGGCAGAAAACAAAGATGGTGCCTCTGTATGATTCCTCCTTCAGCTCTCCCTCCCCCAGAGAATCTCAACTCAAAAGTGATCTGTATGGGGCTATTCCCTGCTTCTCTTCTACGGCCCTAGTCCTCAAAAAAGTTTGGGTTGGGCATTTCAGGGCTGAACTATTTACTTTTAGAGAAATCTGAGCTTTGCTGAAGATACAGGGAACCAGGCATTGGCTGTGACACCTCACACTGGAGCAAGTTTCTTAGTTTCTGAATTGGTATTCTGTCCCTTTCTGGCTTTATGAAAGAGGAAGCTTTGCTCTATTTTTTCATATTGTTTTTGCTGGGTTTCAGGAAGAAGAGATTATAAGTTCCTGTAGTCTCTCATCTTTTATCATAAATTCCTTTAGACAGAGTTTCATTTCCCTTCTGAAGGTGCTCCATCCTGAAAGATTATTAAGCTGTTTGGTATTTTGAATGCTCAATGGCTTTGAAGATGTTGCTCTCAGGTCTTATATGAGGGTCTGTTTTATTTTACTCTGAAGTTGACCCCATCTACTAAAATTTTAAATACTCTTTTCTTATAGGAGCTAATCAAGTGGCAATCGATGCTATAAGGCTGGGGCACTTCTCTTGCTCTTCCCCGACCTCCGTGTACTTCTGTGATGCTACATTAGTCATGACAATGACTACAACACACCCACTGAAGGGACCAAACCAATTGCAACTACATAAATATCTTGTTGGAAAATGGCTACCAAATATAGAAGGTTCCTATATATAATGAGTTGAGACACTTTCATTACATTTTAGATATTGGGGAACTGGCAAAGTTATTGAAAAGAACATTCACTCGGGGGCTCAGACACATCTTTAAGGCTTGGATTTCCAGCTGGTATCCCTTGAACACACCAGGAAGAGAGAAGAGAAATGGGACAAGGGTTAGGAAAGGAATCAGAAAGGAAAAAGAAGTGCAGGAACGAAAGGCAAGGCAATGACAGGGAGTACCAGGGATAGCTGGTAGCCTGTAGGAGCATCAGCACCACAGATTAGGTGAGCCTAATTTGTCAATTCCTTTTTTTAAGGATTTTATTTATTTATTCATGAGAGATACAGAGAGAGAGGCAGAGACATAGGCAGAGGGAGAAGCAGGTGCCCTGCGGGGAGCCCAATGCAGGACTTGATCCTCAGATCCCAGGATCACCACCTGAGCCAAAGGCAGACGCTCAACCACTGAGCCACCCAGGTGACCCTAATTTGTCAATTCTAAATACCAATGCTTTATTAGATCACAGGGGCCTTGACTTGTACTTACCTGGGTCTTCTCACCCATCTCCCCTAGCCTGTACCCAGAACCTAGGTTTGGACTTGGTGGGGTTTTAATCATCAAGGTGCCCTAGAACAAGGCTTGGGCTTCTTCCTGGGGCCTCCGAGGCTACAAGGGCCAAGAATATTGCTGTTGTAATAATGATAACAACTAACACCTGTAAGTGATGTGAAGTCTGGGGGCACTACTGAGAGACAGCTGTACTGCAGTCCAAGTCTAGGGCCATCTACTTTGGAATCCCCCAGAAATCACCCCCAGAAGTTCTGATTTAGCTGACCAGAGGCTGGATCAGGGGATTTATAATTCTAAAAATGCTTCCCCCAAAATTCTTATGCCTACTAATGTTGAAGAACCACTGGTCTAGGGAGTCTTTAAATCCTAAAATATGTGACCCATGATGCTGACTTCCTGGTCAACTATCTGGGAAGACACGATGCCAAATCTGGCAGAGGCCCAGCCAAGGAGCTGCTCCCTAGCTATAGGGGTCAATATTAAGTGCTAAGAAGACACACCTCTGTCATCCCTACACAGAGGTATTTCCCCTGCCAATCACCAACAACTGACAGAGTTCACATTGCGGTACTTCCAGATTCCATGCATTGTCTCCAAGCCTCGAGTATTAAATGCCAGGTGTAGTCAATGCTGCCTTCATACTGTCTTCACATAACTTTTCTTTCAGTTGTGGGGGTAAGACCTGGAACAAGCAGTGAGGATGGAAGGGTGGGAGGCCAGGTTCCCAAATGCTTCTTGGGACCACCTGAAGAATACCTGAGAATATCCATGTATCTGAGACTTGGGATTTGACCGCCTCAAACAGAAACAAACTGACTTTTTAATTCAAGAATCTGCATTTTAGATTGTTTTGATGTCTGGCCAAAATAAAACAAAGCCCCATTCATGTTTGCAGCACCCGTGGTAGGAAGAACGTCAAACCTTTATAATGTGGAGCTTGGGTAAGAGGTTACAGTCGGCTAACGTGAGCTCATCCCCATCCAGGAACTTCCTTCCAGAAACAGTGATGTCCTCGGTGCTGTAGGCATCAATTTCGTCAGGCAGAGGGCTATTTAAGTAAGTATCCAGCTTTTTCAGGGCCTTTAGCAGGTTCTTTTCGTAAACTAGAACATGAAGGCAAAAAATGACTAAGTCACACGAGTTAGTGTCACCTTTCTCTAGACATGAAGGGAAGGGGTCGATCACCTTTCTATTCACTCCTGACACATGGCTGGGTCAGCATGAGGGAATTGGAGGGAAGGATGTGGATAATAATTCTGCTGGCTACACAACACTCCTTCTTGAACTCATCCACTCATTCAAAAATATTTATGGGAAGCCCATAATGAAGTAAAGACAGGCAGAAGTGTCATTGAAACTGATTCTCATGGTGCAGCAGGGAATTCCTGGTGGGGATTCTTTTGCCCCTAAAAATGTTCTTTTCTGGGATCCCAACTTCTAGAAGCAATCGATCTCCTGAAACCCATGTGCAGATTCAGCATTAGAGGTACTTGTTCTTTATTTCTAGATATAGGTCCCTACCCCTGGGGAAATTAGTCAGAATTCCCAGGATCTTAGAAGAAGCCATGCCACAGGCTGAGCAAGGGGTAGTCTGCGTGGAACACTGGACAGAAAGACAACAGGTACTCACCCTCATTTGCATCCTTCTTGGTGTTTTTTATAAATGCGGAGAATTTGGCAAACACATCATTTCCTGCAGAGTTAGATTCTGGATGTTGGGTCCCCAGCTTAGGGTACCTTGAAAGATTCAGAATTGGAGTATCACGGATGAGCAATGTTTGAGTTGGGCTAATAGAAGTGGTGGGAGGGCGGACACGTCTGTCTCTGAGTGGATATAAAAGTGAAAATTTCCCCCTTGAATGTTTTCCTAATCTTTGTACTCTTCAAGCTTCGGAAGCAACAGTCCAGGGAGAAAGCCCTTGCTGTTCTTGTCCTGGCACAGCTCAGACCTCCCTGGTCTTAGTTCCCTTCCAAGAAAACTGAAGGTGGTGGACTAGAAGGCACTCTGCGACATCGCAGGCTCACATGCACTCCTTAGCTTCCAGCAGTGGACCTAAGAGATGGCCAACCCATGCGCCATCGACCCACCTCCTCCCCACTTCCTGCCGTCAAACCGTAATTGCCAAACTGCAGGTGCAAAGCAAAGAGACCCAGGCCTACCATCACTCAAGGCTTCTAATCTTGCTCTGTGTTTTCTGCGGCACACCGCAGTACGGCTAAGGAAGTAAGTATCGTGGCCACGGAAGACCAAATACACGAAGCCAGGAGCTTTCAAATGGTCTGTGAAGGGGGAAAACTAACAGGTTGTGAATGCTGGTTTTAGGAGGCCTACCTTGGGGGAGCTAACTTCTCCTCTAAGAACTCCTCGATCTTATTCACATCCGTCTTGACTTCGCCATCAAAAGTCATAAAGGGAGGGTTTGTCCCAGGAGCCAGATTCTGCAGGTCTGCGGGTTTCCTGGATGGGAGGGAACAGCAGCTTCTGTAAACGGCTGCCAAGGTTTGCATTCATTTCCCAAGCTTAGCCGTGTCCTCCCCAGTTTACGAGGAGCAACCCCTGACAACTTCAAAGGCGACCGTGGGTTTACAAAATATCCTACTGACAACGAAAGTGTGGTTCTTCTCCGGATACGGAAGTGAGAAGGCTAACTCTCCCCGGTGTCATCGCAGGAGAGCTGCTCACCCAGGCTTTGGAGCGGTTCTCAGCTGACCAGTAACTGGGGGAGCAGGTTCCTTATGATGCCCCCGACGCCTCCCTGGTCGTGTCTGATCCAATCCTGTAATTACTGATGAGCCCAGACTTGAGCTTCAGTTCAGAGTCCTGACCGAGGGTGGTTGTGCCATGAGATCGGCCGTGGGTCCTAGGAGTGTGTGAGTGTGTGCACACGTGACTGTGCCTGAGTTTTGAATGTGTGAGTGCACGGTGTGTTATGTGAGTGTTGGGGGTGTATGGGTAGGAGTGTGGGGTGTGGGTATAAGTGTGGGGTGTGGGTATAAGTGTGGGGTATGGGTATGAGTGTGGGGTGTGGGTGTGAGTATGAGCTGGGCGTGGCTGTGGGTGTGAGTATGGGTGTGGGTGTCGGGGTGGGAGTGGGCCAGGAATCAAGGACAGTTATTTCAATAATGCAGAAACCCCATCTTACCTCTTCAGGTCCACCGTTGTCACATTAAATATGACGCCCTTTAGCCAGAGAATCATGAAAAGGCGCTGGGAGAAGGGGCAGTTCCCAATACTCTCACCATCATACCCGGCCTAGGTGGAAAAAGGAACCTTCATCAGAGCCAGTCTCACGATGATCGGTGTCAGTGCCCACCACGCACAGGCACAAAACCACGACAAGTCTGTGTTCATGATCATGACCCTGTAAATACCCACCCGGGGCCATTTCACTGAGCCACTCAACCCCGCTGGGGTGACGGTGGGGGAAGCACATGGAGAGGCTGCACCGAGCATCTCCTTCCTCCTTGCCACCACTCACCACTTCCTGCCACACTGGGCCTCTGGGCCAGTGGGAACTCCCTTTGTTACCAAAGGCACAGAAGAAACACATGCTCTTTCCCTCCCTCTGTCTCTCAATCCTCTCCAGAAGCAACACGCCTCTCTCCGTGATGAGCAGGCTTACAAACGCTCTGGCCGACTCTCCCACCGAGACACCATCCCTCACGGTCTCTGCAGTGCTTGTCTGCAGAGTGACAGGGGTGCCTTATGCGTGTTCTAGATCCCTGGACACTATAAAACTTTGATTCCCCTCATCCGATTCATGGGGTGGCAGATAGATGGGGAGCATTCGTCCTGAGAAGGTGGATTATTGCACAGTTGGTGTTGAGGGTGGGGAGGCTCCTCTCTGGTGACCCAAAGTGGGTCACATCCACCCACACCTCCCCCAGACCTAGACAGACACGTACTAAATATATGTCCTTCTCATGGGCTCGTGGCAGAGGGGAAAGGCAGGTGATGGGGAAGTGGGGAGCGGTGGGGCTACCCAACCCCTAGGAAATGGAGCAGTAGACTCAAGGCCAACAAAGGAAGTTCCAAAACACTTCTTTCTCCTGCCATCTTTCCCCCAAACCACATGTCTCTGACAAGCTCCTGGTGCTACTAGAATGCTGCTGGAAAGACAAAGGTGGCTTGGACGTGCCCCTCACATCTCCATACTGCAAGCCCCACACGCAGCCAGACCTGAGTGAAGGACACACAGCCACAATTAATCTGCAAAGTCCAATCCTACCACACACAGTCAAGAGAAGCTGGAGAGGAAAGCACCATGTCGGTAACCTGGCAGGAAGTGAGCTGCTGGCTTGGGAATTGAAGAAAGGGAGAAAGAGATGCCACGAAGACGGGACCTTCAGCGAGGTAGTGTTCTCTAAGTCATCTGGAGGGGTTGTTAATGATAAGGTATCCCTGGAAATTAAGAGGGTAAGAGACCCCTAGTTTTTAAAAGCCTCGAACAGCCTCTTAACAAAAGACAAAATCCACACGGCCATTAAGCACATGAAAATGTTCCCAACGTCTTTAGGTGGCGGAGCAGCGCAAATTAAAACCACAAAGAGATACCGCTGCACACCTCCCAGAACGGCTAAAACGAAAAGGTCTGACGATACTAAGTGTGGACAAGAACGCAGAGCAACCGAACGGCCATCCACTGTTAGTCGAGTGCAAATGGCACACCTGCTCTGGAGAAGAGTTCGGCAGTGAGCTACCGAAGTGCAGCATAAACCCTACAACACGGCAATTCCACTCCCAACAGGAGGGAGCGCTGATGGGCACGAGAGAGACACACAGGAATGTTCTTAGTAGCTCTGGTATAATATTCAAGACCTGGAAACAACCCAGATACCATCAAGAGTAGAAAGAGTAGATAAGTTGTAGTATATCCATACAATCGGATGCTACGCTGCCACAGGGAAAAAAATAGTTATCACCATAAGCAACAAATGTGGATGAGTCTCACCCACGAGAGAAAGAAACCGGGCTCATAGGAGTTCAGACACAGGCAAACCCCTCTAGGTGATGGAAGTCAGAAGAACAGCTGTCCCCGGAAGCTGGGTATTATCTGGGAAGGATGGGAGGGAGGCTTCTTGGCAGTAGAAATGCTCTACATCTTGATCTCCATGGTGGTGACACGGATATATTGAAGTGGCAGGGTCTTATGTTTGTGTTACTCGACTGCATGACTGACTCTAAAGAAAAAAGTGGGCAGCCCGGGTGGCTCAGCGGTTTAGGGCCATCTTCAGCCCAGGGCGTGATCCTGGAGACCCAGGATCGAGTCCCACATCAGGTTCCCTGCATGAAGCCTGCTTCTCCCTCTGCCTGTGTCTAGGCCTCTCTCTCTCTCTCTCTCTCTCTCTCTCTCTGTCTCTCATAAATAAATAAATAAATAAATAAGATTTTAAAAAAATAAAGTAAAAGTATGATTTGAAAAATCACAGAGTTGGATTCAGGAAGTCTTGCCTAGGACCCAGGGATATGAATTTTTAAGAAGCTCTTCCAAGACGAGGTCATGCTGATGGCCAGAGATCCATGAAGGTGGACCTATTGCACATCGAGAGGCTCCAGCCGACTTAGGAAACTGGATTCAGGGTCCCGGAAGCTCCGGGCCCTTGCTGGACACCCGTCCGCCCCCTCCAAATCTCCCTCCCCCTCAGGCAGATGCATGAGGGGGGAAGGGGCTGAGGATTTCCCCCAGCTGGAGTCTGAAGCTCCCGGGAGCTGGAGGGGTGGGGAGGTGCACAGGCAGGACGGCCCCCCACCGAGTGGTCCTTACAACTTCCCTGCACAGGGGCCCAGGACAGCACCCTGCTTGACTGCCTGAGGCGATTCCCTGCCTCAGGGTCCAGCCTCCTCAGGGCCATTCTGAAGGCTGCCCAGGTTCTCCTCAGTCTGCTCTGGAGCAAGAAGAGCAGAGTGAGGGGCACCTGGGTGGCTCCGTGGTTGGCCTGCCTTCAGCTCAGGGTGTGATCCCGGGGTCCTGGGATAGTGTCCTGCATCCGGCTCCCTGCAGGGAGCATGCTTCTTTCTCTATTTGTGTCTCTGCCTCTCTCTCTCTGTGTCTCTCATGAATAAATAAATAAAATCTTCAAGAAGAAGGAGGAGGAGGAGAAGAGCAGAGTGAGTTATATAAAACTCCCAGCGGCTGGCTGCAAGGACCCCTCTTAAATCATGTTTCTCTCTTAACCACTGCAGGTGTGGGCAGCAGCAGGCCAAGAAGAGGGCGGCGGGGACATGAAAGCACAGGGACGGAAAGCCACATATTTGGGCCAGTCCTGACTTGTTCGAAGCTTCGAGACTTCTTATTTTCAGAGTGGTTACACTAAGCACCATAAAGTCTAAGATAAGTTCTGCACAGCAGGGCCAGTGTCTCCTTTCTCCGTCTCCCTGGTCTCCCCGCGGCCTTGGGGATCTTGTTATAACTCATTCTGCATGCGGCCCCATCGGCCCCTCAGCCTGTGCATCTCTGCCATCATTTGGGGGGCATCAACGAAGCCCATTTTTAAAAAAATTATTATTCATTTATTCATGAGAGACACAGAGAGAGAGGCAGAGACACAGGCAGAGGGAGAAGCAGGCTCCATGCAGGGAGCCCGACATGGGACTTGATCCCGGGACTCCAGGATCATGCCCTGGGCCAAAGGTAGACTCTCAACCGCTGAGCCCCCCTGGCACCCCGACGCAGCCCATCTTGACAAAGAGCTCCGTGTCTGGGAAGGGGCCTGTGGGCACCAGGCCGCCCTCTGCCCCGGCATCTGCAGAGGAATCACCGGGCCGGGGCTGGCCTGGCTCCCTCTCTCTTGGCAGCCTCCGGCACAGGCCTGCGTTTTCCCCCTGTGACTGCTGTCCCGGCCACGTCCTAAATCCCAGCAGCTCCTTCTCCAGGAAGAAGAAAGCAGTTAGGAGCAAGACAGTCTTTAAAAGTAAAACCTGGGCAGCCCTGGGTGGCTCAGCGGTTTAGTGCCGTCTTCAGCTCAGGGCCTGATCCTGGAGTCCTGGGATCGAGTCCGCGTCAGGCTCCCTGCATGGAGCCTGCTTCTCCCTCTGCCTGTGTCTCTGCCTCTCTCTATGTCTCTCATGAATAAATAAATAAAATATTTAAAAAAATAAAGCAAAACCTGCCTTTGTCACCCAGCTCTGCAGACACAGACACTGGGTAACCAGTCTCCTTTCTGGAACAGCCGGGGACAGAGACAGGTGGCCCCAGGGTGGAGCAGTGATGGACAGCCAGGACTGCGCTGGCCCCCCGCGGCCCCCACCCCGGGCTGCTGCAGGCCAGCAGGGCTCGCGGGCCGGGGGCTGGCAGGCGTTCTAGAGAACCGCTCTCTTCTAGACAATCAGCCAGCTGCTGTGGCTGCCGATAAGCAGCATTTCCAGCCGCGGTGTCGCCTTTTTTTTTTTTTTTTGATTTTTTTTTTTATTGGTGTTCAATTTGCCAACATACAGAATAACACCCAGTGCTCATCCTGCCAAGTGCCCCCTCAGTGCCCGTCACCCAGTGACCCCCACCCCCCGCCCCCTTCCACCACCCCTAGTTCGTTTCCCAGAGTTAGGAGTCTTTCATGTTCCGTCTCCCTTTCTGATATTTCCCACTCATTTTTTCTCCCTTCCCCTTTATTCCCTTTCACTATTTTTTATATTCCCCAAATGAATGAGACCATATAATGTTTGTCCTTCTCCGACTGACTTACTTCACTCAGCATAAGACCCTCCAGTTCAACCCTCCACGTTGAAGCAAATGGTGGGTATTTGTCGTTTCTAATGGCTGAGGAATATTCCATTGTATATATAGACCACATCTTCTTTATCCATTCAAGTTTCGATGGGCACCGAGGCTCCTTCCACAGTTTGGCTATTGTGGACATGGCTGCTAGAAACATCGGGGTGCAGGTGTCCCGGCGTTTCATTGCATTTGAATCTTTGGGGTAAATCCCCAGCAGTGCAATTGCTGGGTCGTAGGGCAGGTCTATTTTTAACTCTTTGAGGAACCTCCACACAGTTTTCCAGAGTGGCTGCACCAGTTCACATTCCCACCAACAGTGCAAGAGGGTTCCCCTTTCTCCGCATCCTCTCCAACATTTGTGGTTTCCTGTTAATTGTTAATTTTCCCCATTCTCACTGGTGTGAGGTGGTGTCTCATTGTGGTTTTGATTTGTATTTCCCTGATGGCAAGTGATGCGGAGCATTTTCTCATGTGCATGTTGGCCATGTCTGTGTCTTCCTCTGTGAGATTTCTCTTCATGTCTTTTGCCCGTTTCATGATT